GTCTGCGCCACTAGACCACAAGGTCTTGTGTGGATGACCATGATTATTTAGTTTACTTTACCCTTTTCACGAAGTTCATAATAAAAAATGGTTTTGTCACGATTCGAAACATCGATTTAACACTTGGAAGAAAATTGTCTTAGCAACTAGACGACAAGTTCTTCGGGGGAATGGCTACCTTTATTTGATCTACTTTATCGTTTTCACGAAGTTCATAATGAAAAACGGTTATGGTAGGATTCGAACCATCGATTTAATACTTGGGAGACGATTGTCTTTGCCTCTTGACTGCAAGATCTTGTGCTGAACGGTTATGGTTATTTAATTTATTGATCCTTTTCACGAAGTTCATAATGAAAAACGGTTATATTAGGATTCGAATCATGCATCGATTTAACGCTTGGGAGACCATCGTCTTCGTCATTAGACCGCAAGGTCTTGTGCTGGATGACCATAATTATTTAGTTTACTTTATCCTTTTCACGAAGTTCATTATGAAAAACGGTTATGGTAGGATTCGAACTATCAATTTACCACTTGAGAGACCATCGTCCTCGCCACTAGACTGCAAGATCTTGTGCTGAACGGTTATAGTTACTTAATTTGCTTTATTCTTTTCACGAAGTTCATAATGAAAACAGTTATGGTAGGATTCGAACCATCGATTTAACACTTGGAAGACCATCGTCCTCGCCACTAGCCCGCATGTCTTGTGCTGGATGACCATGGGTATTTAATTTACTTTATCCTTTCACGAAGTTCGTAACAAGAAATGGTTTTGGCACGATTCGAAACATCGATTTAACACTCGTGTTAGCCACTAGACCACAAGTTCTTGGGGGAATGGCTACGTTTATTCGATCTACTTCATCGTTTTCACGAAGTTCATAATGACAAACGGTTATGGTAGGACTCGAACCATCGATTTACTACTTGGGAGACGATTGTCTTCGCCACTAGACTGCAAGAACTTGTGCTGAACGGTTATGGTTATTTAATTTATTTATCCTTTTCACAAAGTTCATAATGAAAACGGTTACGGTAGGATTCAAACCATCGAATTAACACTTGGGAGACCATCGTCTTCGCCACTAGACCGCAAGGTCTTTTGCTGGATGACCATGGTTATTTAGTTTACTTTATCCTTTCACGAAGTTCATAAAGAAAAAGGTCATAGCAGGATTTAACCATCGATATACCACTTGGGACACAATTGTCTTTGCCACTAGTCTGCAAGGTCTTGTGCTGAACGGCCATTTTTTTTTAGTCTACTTTATTCTTTTCACGAAATTCATAATGAAAAGGTCATGGCAGGATTCGAACCATCGATTTACTACTTAGGAGATGATTGTCTTCGCCACTAGACTGCAAGAACTTGTGCTGAACGGTTATGGTTATTTAATTTATTTATCCTTTTCACGAAGTTCATAATGAAAACGTTTATGGTAGGATTCGAACAATCGATTTAACACTTAGGAGACCTTCGTCTTCATCACTAGAGCACAAGGTCTTGTGCTGGATGACTATGGTTATTTAGTTTACTTTATCCTTTCACGAAGTTCGTAATAAAAAATAGTTTAGGCACGATTCGAAACATCGATTTAACACTCGTGTTAGCCACTAGACCACAAGTTCTTCGGAGAATGGCTACGTTTATTTGATCTACTTTATCGTTTTCACGAAGTTCATAATGAAAAACGGTTATGGTAGGATTCGAACCATCGATTTACTACTTGGGAGACGATTGTCTTCGCCACTAGAGCACAAGGTGTTGTTATGGATGGTCTTGGTTATTTAGTTTACTTTATCCTTTCACGAAGTTCATAATGAAAAAGGGCATAGCAGGTTTCGAACCATCGATTTACCACTTGGGAGACAATTGTCTTAGCCACAAGATCTTGTGGGGAATGGCCATGGTTACTTTGTTTACTGTATTTCTTTTCACGAAATTTATAATATAAAAAGGGTTATGGTAGGATTCGAACCATCGATTTACAACTTTGGGATCATTGTTTTTACCACTTGAGTACAAGTTATTGTGCTGAACGGCCATGTTCATTTAAATTACTTCATAATTTTCACGAATTTATAATGAAACACGGTTATGGTAAGATTCGAACAATTGATTTGCCACTGGGGATATCATTTAAGTTTGAAAACCTTCAATCCAACTGTTTTTGACGCATTATAATATTATGTTGTGTGTTCCTTCACAGGCAGCTAGTGATCTACAATAAAAATAACCAATTATTCAATATTTTGTCCACCACAACCCAAGGTGTGTACATAGTTTTTACTAGTAAACAACTCTAACATGCCTTTCCCTGAACAAGTAAAGTTGTCGGGTTTAAATAGAAATAAACACACTTACAATGATTTCACAACTTCTTTTCGTTCCCGTTTGCTTCTATCCGATTCGTTAAGCAAGTTTTTAAAGAAAATATCTAAAGGTGATAACGTGATGTTATCATTGAATCACCACCTTTTCGTGTATGGAAATGAATATTGTGTTTCCATATTGCTTAATTCACGATCAATATGGCGGTTGGTCGGTAACTCTATATATTTTTTTATGATATATATTTTATCTAACGAGTTTCGTACATCTCGACCAATTAATATGGCATTTAAGAATACTAATTGCATGGATTTGGACGGATTGGCTGCGGATGCCATAACCTTGAGTATTTGTAGAGATATTGCTTTTCGATGTCGGGTCAACATACAACGAGTTGGTTTTGAATCTAAATACAAAGTCTCATTTGCGATTGCTAAAGAACCGAAACATGGATTTGTTAGTCTAGTCCTATGTGCGAAGCCTTTTAAGCAGGATCTAACAATGTGTGTGGATGTTTCGTCTAATCCTGGTCCTCAATCTTTTGATAATAATCAGTCGGATAAGATGTCTCAACATCGAAAGCAGTCACGTTTGATGAACACGTTTCGACCCGCTAATAATCCTGAGGAGCTTAGTTCAATGCTTGGGCAGTTGAATCTACAGAAAGGTTGGTTGTTCCATATGACCTATAGGAATATTTTCTATAATACCTACTTGGCAAACACCTCCGGGACACCATATAATCACTAACATCATTCAAATCATCAGCCTGTAAACATATATGGCAGAAATGATATTAATTAAGAGAAACAATCTCATCAATATTCCTTTATCAAGCATTGCCAACACTCCTGATACAGCTGTTACTCAGCTTTGTTCTTTTGGTCTTCTTAACTGCCGGTCTATTCGAAGCAAAGCCAATTTAGTCAAAGACTATGTGGTTGAGAATGAATTTGATATATTTGCGATTACAAAAACCTGGCTTCACCCTGACAAATTTGATCTTAAATCAATTGGGAATTTCACCCCGAAGGGCTACTCTTTAAACATATCTCGAGACAACAAGGTAGATGGGGAGGCATTGGTATATTATACAACAACACTTTAAAAGTCAAGCTGGAATCGACGAACATGTTCACACACATTAAGTCTTTCGAACTGATGGGTATGCAAATCAATATGTGTCAAATTCTAAATATTATCGTATTATATCGACCTCCATGTAGACGATAAGTCGGAATTAACAACAAAAAAATTCTCAATCTTGTTGATTCTTTTAATCTGGAACAACATGTACAACAACCAACACACATTGCTGGTCACACGTTAGCCCTTATCTTGTCTCGCCATGAGGAAAATATTGTTCAATCTATTGACGTTCATGATCCATCTATATCTGACCATTACACGGTTACATGTGAACTCAATTTTAAAAAAACATTGTTTCAGAGGAGGGTCGTGGAGTCACGTAAAATTAAAGCAATCAATATGGACTCATTCTTTAATGACATTAGGCTATATCCGATTATCACTGGGAACACGGCTGATATTAGTGCGGAAGTCAACCAATACAACTCGGAGCTTTCCAGAATTCTGGATCATCATGCACCACTTATCACCAGGGAGATAATTAGTCGTTCAGCTGCACCTTGGTACACTGAACAAATTAAAAACGAAAAACGTATCAGAAGGAAACTCGAGCGGGTATGGCGTAAGTCAGGACAATCCTGTGATCGTCTAAAACACAGTCAACCATGTCGCCGTGTCAGTGAGCTATTATCGGAAAGTCGTACTCGTTACTATTCTGAAATTGTTAGAGATAATAGGAGTGACCAAGAGCAATTATTTAAAACCGTTGGAAAGTTTCTACATCATATCCCTGATTCTCAATATCCTGTGTGCCAATTTGATCAGAATCTAGCTAAATATTTTATGACTTTCTTTGAGGACAAAATTTTGTAATAATGTAATATTTTGGTATTTTGATTTTTGTTTAAGTTCGTGATGTATTTCTATGTAGCCTCAGCCTTATCCTAATGGGAATTTTTTTTAGATTTGAAGAGAGGACGGCCATCCGAATTAAAGTACTAAATGTGCTTTGTAACATATTAGGAACGTTATCTCCACTATATGAGGTATAAAATGTTGGCACTTTGAATAATTTCAGTCAATTTTTCTAGACATTATCGATATTATGAATCTTTTTCTAGTTTGTAACTTTTTATTTTTTACAGGGAGAAATACTTGAGAATTCAGTGTTGCCACATTTAGACCACATTGCGAAAAATCGAAATATTTTTGTGCAGATCCGAGCTGTCCAGCTTCTGGTCGATGTTATTGAATCCTCTGATTCACCGAAAGTTTGCGATGTTTTGCATATAATCGAGAAGGTACTCAATATAATCCTTTTCAGACGGTTTCATTTCTCCACTCCAAATTGCCCCTTCATTCGTGTTGAGCTGATACTGTACTTCAATAGAAAACTCTCTCTTATCAGTGAAAGCTTCCTGACTTGAACCCAACTATATACCCGCAAATTGGATCGTTTTACACGGAAGTCGTGAATGCAAACGCATCAGTGAAGTAAAAGGATAAATATTTCATTTATCAATTCCAGATTGGCACTGTTCAGTAGATCCTCTCAAGCGATACGTTAAGCCGTCGTGTAAAGAACATGTAAGGTAATTATAGAGACTGCAAGGTATTTGTAGTAACATCTAGAGACATATAATTACATCTAATCACTGTAAATTTTCTTTGTTGCTGCAGCCTCAGGATGAAACAGCGTAGAAAGACATCAAAGAGGCTGCATTAGGATTAGTACGGGGAACTATTTTAACTTCAAGGTAAATAGGGATTTTTGTCAGGACTTATCGTTCCAGTTGTATAAAAGAAATTATTCACAATGAATTCCAAATCGTAATTCATCATGGTATCAATGCCTTCCCCTCTCTCTTTCAAAAAGTAGGCCCATATTCCATTTCTAATTTAATAAGCGGGTTTTTTATAAAGTGATAAGCTAGCTAAAGCTAATGTTTCCAAATTATTTCCACATCAACCTATGCCATATTTTTGTGCAGAAGATTAGTGGTTATAAATTACATTGGAGTGAACGAAAGGTTCCAGTGACGTTAGAGGTACTATTATTGTTTTCAAGTTTCTTGATAACTTACCGGTGTGTTCATATATATATATATATACAATTGTCCACTTCCCTCGGTTTCGTTCGTCGCCTTTTATTAAAACCACGTCACCTGGCTTCGCCGTCATCTGTTTCGTCTTATGCTTGAGTTTGTGTCTTTCTTGTAATGATTTTAGGTATTCGTTTGTCCATCTGGCCCAAACGATATCTTTGCATCTTCTCAAATACCTTGCCCGTTTTCGAAGTTCAACATTTTCCCCTTGATCAGGTTCTTCTTCAGGCAGTTGGATTTGCTGCACGAACTGCATGGAATTTGGAGTTAATATCTGCATCTGAACGTCATCCTCTACGTATGTCAGCGGTCGGTTGTTGATTGTGGTTTCGACGTCGAGCAGTACTTCTTCTAACTCTTTCCAGCGTAGGTTTCCTTGTCCGATTGATTTGTAGAGTGCTTGTTTCATTACGCCGAATAATCGCTCGAATTGTCCGCCCCACCAAGGGGCGCGGCTTAAGTTGAACTTCCACTTGATATCTTGTTTTGTTAACCAACTGTTGAACTTCTCATCCTTTTGAACTCTTCGAAGCCATTTTGCAGTAGCTAAAGAGGTTTTGCTATTGTCCGAAAATACCTTTTCTGGACGTCCCTTCCTTGCGATAAATCGCTTCAAACTGAGTAAAAACTCATCTGTACTTTGATTTGGCAATAGGTCGAGATAAACTGCCCTGGTTAAACTACAAGCATACAACGCTACATAAGCCTTCTTCTCTTTCTTTGCTTTACTTAAATATCTGATTGGTCCCGCAAAGTCAACTCCGATGACTTCGAATGGTGTTGAACCGGTGGTTCTTTCGAGAGGCAAGTTAGCTGTCGGAGGATCTGCGTACGCCTTAACCTGGAATCTTTTACACCCGTGGCACTTGCGTATCAGCCGTTTCGTCAGTCGCCTCAATTGCAGTATCCAATACTTTTCCCTGAATTTAGTCATTGTCAGTAAGGCTCCCCCATGTAGGGTCTGCGAGTGTGCATGCAGAACTAATTTCTCGGCAACTACGTCTTCTTCAGGAACATAAATAGGATTGTCTCCTTGCACTCTTCCTCTGCATTCATAGATACCTCGTTCGTTTAATTGAAGATTTAGTTGGAGCTTGTCCTCTTCGAATTTTTCCTTTCCTTCATGTCGCGACTGTGCTCTTCCAATCCAGAACTCGAGCTGTTCGTTTATGTCTTCTTTAGTCAGGGGGCCGGTTACCTTTTGTTTCATCCGACAATTTCTGGTAAATCTCGTAATCCACGCTGTGATTCGAACGGTCTTCCAAAGATCCCATTTTTCAATAAGCTTATCCAGATCATCTTGCTCCAATTCCACTGCAACAGCTAGGACTTCCTTGATAACTTTAGCTTCGGCTAGCGATTCTTTGCTTGGGCTGGTTATTATGTCTTGAGGCCACTCGTTTTCGTCTATTAACCACGATGGTCCCTTGAGCCACGTCTCAGATAACATGTCAACCTTGCCTCCCCGGCTTCCGAGGTCCACTGGATTTTCAGTTGAACTGACATACCTCTACTGTATATAGTCCCTTTCCTGGATCTTATGAACGCGATGACTGACAAATTGTTTGTACTCGCCGTTTCCCTGAATTCAGTGGAGGGCCACTGTGCTATCTAGCCAACTGAACGTATTTCGGATTGGAAAACCCATCAATGCTTCCCTTGCGTTGTGGAGCAAGTTTGCTGACATATGTCCCGCGATGAGTTCCAGTCTTGGGATGGTTAAACCCCTTTTTGCGAGTCTTGACTTCGACGCCACGACGCTGCCTTGTGACGGCATAGACGACTGATGACACTCCTTTACCACTAGCATCGCCGAAGGCATGTAGATCAATTGCATCGATTTCCTCCTGATATCTAACAAGACTCCTCGCTATTTCAACTTCTTTTGGTCGGTTTAGTTCCCATGAAATCTATTTGGCGAGCAATTCCGGGTTTAATTCTTTGTCCCAAGACATCCGTTCGTCACAGATTTCTCTATAGATCAATTTTCCTTGTATTGTTGTGGGTGATACAATTCCCAATGGGTCATATATCTTGGCGATGTTACCGAGGACATTTCGTTTCGTGATTTCCTTCAACGGCTCTGGAAAGTTCACCTTGATACTGTCCGTCTTCTTATCCCAAGGCACGCCAAGCAACTTTGTTTCTCCAGCTTTTACTCCTATTTGCTCTTTCGCATAGCCCGTTTCAACTTCTTCAAAGGGCTCTGGTTCCAATTCAAGCTTCGGATTATTTGAATGCCACTTGTGTAGTTCAAATTTCCCTTCAGTGAAGATGGTCACACACGATTTCTTCAGATTCTCGGTCTCCTCAAGCGTGTTCCCTCCCGATATGAGGTCGTCCACATAAAGGCTGCGTCGTATTTCGTCGACTTCATTCGGAAAGACTGATTGCATGTTCTGGAGGTGCTGCTCGATGACTCCCCCCAATAAGAATGGAGACGTGGAAAGGCCGAATAATGCTCTTGTGAATCTCAATGTTTCCACTTCTCTTGTTGTCCAGTCTTTCAGCCAATGAAAGCGTAACGCATCGCGATCATCTGTCCTTATTCGGACTTGCAAAAAGGCCTGCTTGATGTCGCCGGATAGAGCTACCGGGTGGAATCGATTCCTCACGAGAATACTCCATAATTGGTTTTGTAGTGCTGGGCCTGGCTCTAAGCACTCATTTAACGAAGGAGTTCTCTCATTTGGACGTGCCGAAGCATCATACACAATTTGGGTTTTGGTACTTTCTGCTGTCTCACGTATGACTGGTTTCTGAATTTCTGAAATTTCGATTCTTTGTAAACAATTACCCAAACGTTCAGCCCTTGAATTTTGTCCCACAGGGGTTTTAGGTATAAGTGGATTGCTTGATTTTCTGACGTTTGTTCTGTGTCCTCCTTACAAGTAAAGTTCTGGTTGCTTTGCAATATATCAAAATAATACGGGCGTGAAGTTGGACATTCATGTTAAACTAATAGTAAGGTGTGATTGCTTCTAATATTTTGAATCAACTCATGTAGTCTGTTATAATAAATCGACTATTGCATATTCCTCTTAGTGAGACAACAGACGATGAACAGTTTTGGAAATTACTGGAGAAAGTTGCAGGTATGCTACAAAACATTTGAGGAGCTTTTTATTAAACTTGTCTTCTTGGCAGTTTATGGCTCATTGACTGACGTTGAGAGTTGATTAAATTGCCTTTCTCTCTTTACATTTTTGGTGAAGTTTACCACGTCCACTAGCTTGACCAATGCATGGGAGCAACTAATGAAGTCTGTTATTTGTTTGTCTAGAAATGGGTCATTGCATTTATCGATTGTTTCAGGTAGGTTTAAGATAAAACTGCAATAAATAGTACCAATTGTACCATTTCTTCGCTTATGTATGTTTTACTATTGCCCCGCTAATGGTTCTTACTAATCGTGGTTTTGAATTCGTTCCTCAACAATTTCAGCATCCGTCGACAACAATTGTGAAAGGTGCTGGCATGGTTCTGAAGGCGATAATCGAGGTACGTTTTATTCATTCATTCCTCCATTGAGAATTTTCCGCTTTTGACAAACGTAATTTTTAACGTTCTGCATTTTTTTAGCAGTGATGAATGTACATATTAGTTCAGTTGATATTTAAGAGGTTTTAAAGGGTCTTAATTTCGAGAGGTATTATGCACAAATTCAAGCCAGGAACAGTTGATGGAAAAATGAGTCAACTATAGATCCTCCGGCAGGAATCGCTTTTGCGATGCCGGTGCAATGCTCCTGTCACTGAGAACGTATAGTTGACTCATTTTTCCATCAACAGTTCCTGGCTTGAATTTGAAGTGTGTATAATAATACCACTCGAAATTAAGACCCTTTAAAACCCGAATTAGTGTGATATATTAACAAATTGTTCCAGATGTATAGCCTCGATTCCATCCAGAGGACCTGAGTTGTATTTTAGCAACATTTTTAGATTAATCTTAAAACTTGTGATTTTATAATCCTCTATATACTGGCCATCTGCAAATAGTTCAATTGAGACTAACAAGCATACTCCATAAGTAATTTATAATCTTTATTGTTGACATATAGGCAATTGAGTGGACATCTTGTGGCTCTCTGGACAACTGGTCATCCAACAGAATTGGCATTACTTGTGAGAATAATGTTCGTATTAAAGTAGTTATAGTTTTTAATGTCTAAAATATACAATAAAGTTTAAATGCGAGATTTCCTGTTCGTAAGTTTTGGTTCATAAACAATTATTTAATAAATTTGAATACGATTTTCACAGCCAGCTGGTTTGCTCTATTACCTTGAAAGCCCTGACGAAGTAGGAAATCTTTGAGAATGTCTTGCGAGGGCCATTATTTACATAAACCCATTGCAGTGATTCTGACTAACCAATCATAATATTGACTAAGTTGTATCAACTGCTTTGGTAACTAAACTCCATCATTCATCCTTAAACTGTGCCAACTGCCCCACTGACGAAATAATTAAATAGTAATTCATTCAGAAATGTAAAAGCTTTTTGTAAAGAAACAATTTTGTTGGAAAGTTTTTATCTTTTCTTCTGCCACCAGAAACTAAAGAAGATCATTTATCAAGTCGTGACAATGTAAAGCTTGCAGAATACGTTTTAAAGCAACTTTCGTGTTCCAAAATTTCATAATGCATGCTTGTATGTACATATAAGCCTGTTATTTCACGTGCTATACTTGTCTGTTAGAGCTCTGGAAAAGCGAGAGGAACAACAAGGAATCAACTTGAAGGATATCTCTCGCATTGGAGGACAAGAATAGGATTCAAATCCAGGAAAGATGTTAGAATCTAAATCCAGTTGTTTTATTACAATTAAGTGTTCATATTAAGAAAATGAGAGTTGAGATCACAAGAACACCACTTTCACACAATTGAAACTATAATTGTATATGAATCACAAGGCCCTATACTGTATAGTAACAGCATG